AGCAAACGGTGTCCCGGGAAACGAAAAGATCTTTCCAATAACCTGGAGCAAAGACGAAACTCACAGCTGACCTAATAATAGAATGAATAAAAGCGTGCCTTAGTAGGTTATATTTCACGTTCCGATCGGTGGCTGTGGGCGCAAGAAAAGATCCTTGCCAGGGGATCGCCACCATCCCCCGTACTGGCAATTCTATATGGAAGACTTTGAAAAGATAATGCTGACAAGCTCCAGTGTCTCGCCAAAAGTTTGGTGGCCCTGCCTAAATGCTACTCTTGTTATCGTTACGCGGGATAAGAAAGGGGTTTTATAAACTAGTTGAACTCTATTAATGAGTATGTAAGATTTACGACGGAATTAGATGGTTTCGGAGGTACACTAGTTTGTTTAGTTCCCAGGAACGGAGGACGGCTTAAAACAATTAGTAATAACTAACTAACTAATTAATTTTGAAACCAGAAGATACGGTTGGAGTAAAACACTATATTTCTGGTCATCCGAAACACATGTATGCTACGATTGCATCCTCTCTGTTTCACAGGAACCAGACGATGCGCACAGTGTAAGTGGACAGGAGGGCTGCGCAGATAGAGGCAATTAACAAATTAATAGTTCGTGGATATCCGAGACGTTTAGTTAAACGTCACTTGCAGCTAGCGCTAAAACGCCCTTTCCGACGTACGGCGGACTGGATTATGACAGTGAAAGTCGCTTATAATGAGGGAACCTTTGAAGCGATCAGGCGAGTACTAAACAAGGGGAAGATAAGAGTGGTTTTCCAAAGTGGTCAAAAGCTCTGTTCAACACTAGTAAGTTTGAATGATCAACTTGCAAATTATAGGACGATCAGTTGCGTCTAGAAAATTAGTTGCAACGACCGTACACAAGTGTACGCAGGCCAAACAGCGAGAGAACAACACACTAGGAGTGCAGGACACAAAAGGCACGTTTCGTGTCCACCAAAAAATTAGCTTGAAGGCGATGCCTTACTACAAAAGTGGGCGGTAGTACTACATGCACTATACTCGGGACACGCAATCGACTAGGACAAGGTAGATATCACTAGGAGGGGAATAAGTACGACAAACCAAAGATTAATTGCTGAGGCGTTAGGAATCCCCAAGACCACTAATTGCTTAAACAGTAAACCCGGCTTGGAGCTATTGAACGCGTGACGGGCTGCCTTAACTCGTCTAGTCTGAGCAACTTTAGTGGGCGGACTCAAGTTGAAGCGAAAAGATCTAATTATCAGTACTGAAGCCAAGAGAAACATCATCACTGCCTTACATGTGACTGACCCATTACACGTATCAATCGAGATAGTTCCATGCTCATTGTTCCAACATATTGACCCCTTGGTCTTTTAAAACTATAGCCATATGTTTCCGCTTACCCGGGTTATCTTAAGCCATCATTATTCTAATTGTTTTAAAATGCCAATCCAGATCTGTACAATTCACCTGAATTGAAGTAGCTCTTGCGTCAAGGGTGAAAGGTTATCTCAAGATAACCCTTTAGAAAACCGAGTTGGATTCGAATACTTTGGAAACTATTATCTTTCCAGTTTTAAGCCATTACCTCCTCCATAACCTCATGCCTGGCAGCTATTCTTTGCTGTCCGCTTCATAATCATACACTCCCAATTGAATGCAGAAATGGGTTCATCATCGCGATATACAAATAAGATATGCGATCGGACCTTGCCAGTCACCGAACTGCTAGTTTTCTTTGTTTCACCAAACGTGATGGAGTAGATAATCACAGACGACGACGCCGTATCTTAAAAGTCTCTATGCCATTTGTATCTTCCATATAGATTTTGACGCAGATGATATTGTCTCACCAGCCTTTTCCTTGCCCAGGACTCATGGACCAGTGCGGCTGATAAAGAAGCCCGCCAGACATGATGTAGACAGATTTTTCGAGAGCATTTGTCGGAGTCAACCAACACCTTCTTCTCCGAAGGCACATCATCATCATCCTCATACACGTTAGCCAGAGGTGGGGAACACCTCAGCTATTGTGCAGCAATAATTAGAAAAAAGGAGAGAAAAAAAGAAACTGGTGCAAGCCGGCTGAGCTACCAGTAACGGATGGGCATCGTTCCGGTAAGCTACCAGCCGGCTACTGTGCATCAAAAAAATTACTGTGCAAAATTATATATAAGGCTGAATAGTGGGATCGTGGTTGGAGGCGGAGGCTAAGAGGGATGGGGTGGGACAAAGAAACTCACAGCACGAACGCCACTGAGGTCGGCTCCTTGCCATGTCAGCAAATGTGTCCAACCAAACGTGTTCATCGTCTTTCGGACCCCAACCAGGAAGCCGAGACGCTGCAACCGAGGCCAGCTCAAAAGTGAGGGCCTTCATTCCTCTGGACCAAGTCATCGCTTAGCCACCCCTCCTCTTCTTCAATCCACACCCCCGGCGCGCAAACAACGCACGTCGAGGGAGTCGGTGGGCTGGCATGCGTAACACGTGGCCGAGCCATCGGAGCCTGGTGCGTGAAATGACGGTGCTGAGCGGTTCAGTTCCTTTTCCTGTGCCGTAAACAAGGCGTCGAACACTCTTAGCTCACGTGGTGTTCCCACTAGATGTGAGCTAAATTGCGAAAGCACCGGTGGTCGAACTTAACCAGCCTCTTCGTGTCCGTTGCTTTAAGGGGCCAGGTATCACAACCTTACAGTAGGGTTGAATCTCACTTCAAACAAATTTCTGATGCTCTGGCCACCGCAGAGGATAATCAACGGTGCCCTATCTGCTGCATCGAGCAGGGTGGATAGGGGTTTGGATGCTACTGCTCAAGCCTTCCCGTCTTCTTATTCCCCCTCTTGCACTTTTCGCCCTTATCGTCCCGTACCAACTTTACTTTTATCCCCCCTGTTTTCTACCCCCCAATTCTCGACCCTCCCCCACCTTGCTTCAATAGTCGCTTGTCTTTTACTTTCAACTCACATGTGAATGCGCAGCGTCATTTTCTGCCCTGTCAACAGGCCCATGTCCAACCAAGCGGTCAAGCCCAGTTCAACGGCTTCCATTTGGAGCCCTCGATCCTCCTTCATATTGGCATGCCTCAATGTTCGCACATTGCTTCAGATCGGTCAACAGGCAGCACTTGACCGAACATTAGAGACCTCTCGATCGCTAACTGCTGCTTATCGGAGACCCGCCTGCAAGACTCGAGCTCTTTACTCACTCTGCCATCCCTTTCAAGTGACGCTAGCAGCACGGTCTCATTGCGCCTATTCGGTGACGATGCAGCTTCGAGCACCGGCCAAACCGGTGTTGGTATTGACCTGAGTCCCCAAGCTGAAGCTGCTCTGGTTGATTGGATTCCAATCAGTAGCCGGATATGTGCAGTCCGATTGGCTGGCTCGTTCAAAACCTCGAAGTCGCGTGGGACTAACAGGTGTCTATTCGTTATCGCTCCGAAGGCTCAATGACTACGGGTTCGCAGCTCCCTGCTCACGTTGTTGTCTACACAGATAAGTCATCCCAGTAAGATTTATCGACACTCAATTTGAGAGTCTGTATTCTCCGATGGTGTTTCCTGGGGTTCTGTCCTCAGTCGGCTATGGTTTTTAATCTATACCACAGCACTTCTAACAAAATTTCCTAATGCAAATACTTGCCGATAATACCATGGTCTGAAGAGCTCTTTGCCTAAATTCTGCCCTTGCTTTTCTTTTGAATAATCCGAAACCAAATTTATGGATTGGTACAAATGAAACAGGAATTATCCTACTGACACTGTATACCAATTTCACCTACCTATACACATTGGGGTAGACAACTTTACAGCACCTAACCGGTGAATGGCATCTAGATGTCGATGCCTAAGAAAGTAGGAAATTCGTTCAAATGTATGACTGCAGCAAAGGTGGTGAATTTGCATTTACAGCTTCTGCCGCCAGCTATCGAAATATTTACGCCACAGATGGTACAGACAGATAGATAGTCGTAGATTCATCTTCATGTTGAATATGTGGTTCATGCTTGGTATCCATGGTTACAACGAGACATCCGTCTTATGGGGTAACCCTGAATGAGGATTATCGAACGGACGCATGGATTATTTGGTCACATTTACGAAGTAAACATTTGTTCAATTGATGTATTATCCCCAGAACACCGACGACTTTGATTAGACCTCCTCACATGTCGGATACCGATAAAAATTATTCACCTGTGTAAATTAGTGCTGGTCATAGATTTTTGCATGCAATGCAGAGGTCACGTCCTGAAACTGATAATTCAACACTCCCGCTAGGACTGCAGCAAGTATTATACTCTCTTGGAATCTGTTCACACTGAAATGCATCAACAGCACAGGCCATCAGTGCAACAAACATGACAACCTTTGAAAGATTATTCAAGTTTCATCTAGGCGGTTTACACTGCACGGCCGTAGGATGAAGGGCCATAACAAAACTACTGATAATCCACGGTTTATGCCGAAACCGTTAGGCATTCTTTTTGCATTTACTATCCTCTCGGTCTTGTAAAACTGCTAGTATTTTCATATAACACCAATGTGCTGTTGAACCAGAATTGTAAACTTTAATAATTATGATAGACACAATGTAGCTAGTCTTCTTCATTCCTTACTCTCCAGACTATATCCCGTCGACATCACCAATAGCAGCTAAGTGCACAGGCTAATAAAATACCATGGCACAATTTCCACTACAATCTAGACAGCAGCTATGGCAAACTGAGGGTAAAATAAGGTTGGCACAAAAAGTTTAAAAGCAGGTTCACTATACTGGCCATCTCATTAGAAGACCTGTCAATTAAGTAACATGATATACTTTGTTGTATTGTAGATATAAACATGGAGTGGCCTTCAAGTCGCTGTCATTTTTGACCTCACAGAGGGTATTAAAGCTTTCTTCTTTCACAGAATCAGTGTTGATGTAGTTGAAAACCACACTTAGCACAAACTAGGCATGGAATAAATAAAGATACATAGATACAACCTGACAATCCACTCGAACTCACTCTGACTGTGGTTGAGTTCGAATAGTAGACTTGAAATAATGGAAATCAGAAAAACAGAATGCATGTTAACTGTCGTAGTAGTGATGTACGGCTTAACAGTTAGCCCACCAGTCCAGTACATCTTGATGACACTTTTATATTTGAGACAAAATTTGTTTCTCAGACTGCCTCCACACAAACAAGCGAATAGTTGCATTGGTAATGCCTGATCTTACAATGCTGCTACGTATGCGGACCCGGTCGTGTAATGGGGTACGTCTCGGTTTAGTAAACTTAAACCCCAAAGTTAACAGCTCAGCGCTTAAAGCCATTGGAATGCATTGTGTTCAAAGTTGACGTAGGGCCCATTGTCCAACTGGTACACTAGACTTCACATGCGTGCACAGTAAGGTTACAAATGTGTGAAAATCCGAACACTTCTAAGCGCATACGTCGACCACCCACACTCAAGGTATTAATGCACAAAGTTACTATTCTTGGTATGCTGTTACTGGGAGGTTTATTATTTGAACAAATCAATCAGGTCTGCTCAGAGCTAGGATAAAATGAAGTATCACTAAGATAAAATGCCGTGGTAGTTGCCCTAGTTAAACCTACCCCTTGTAAATTCGATATCGGTACAGCTAGATGATGCTTAGTATAGTCTAGTTATGTTTCTCCACAAATTACAGAGGTTCTACAGTAAAGCACGACTAAATTTAGCTAGAGTAACTGAAATCTGTTTCAAAACAGTGAAGTTAATAACCTACTTGCTTTTCAAGTGGTAAGCCGCAAAACTACTGAGCTTAAGCGGAGGGTCTAAGCTGAAAAAGTCAAAAATGTGTGTTTTTCAAAGCTCGATATTTATGTATAGGTATAGTCAGATCTCCATGAAATTTTGCAGGGATTTTCATTATTTATCATGCAAATAATATATGATAGAGAAATAAAGATAAGTGTATTTATTATTTTTTATTCACATTTTAGTAAGGTACCTGAATTAGTGATGCCGAATTGGTTGTTGTGGCATTATGGGTCCCATCAAAAAAGTATTCTATGTGTTGAGCTAAAATTTTGTGCAGTTATTTAGATATACTTCAGCTTTAGAATAAACTATACTCAACTCTTTATCTGAATTAGATCTTCCAAAACTGATGTTCAGATTTGCTTAAAAATCTGAACTAAGGTTAAAAGTTGACCACAAGTGTAGGACACTTAAAAGTAGTTTATTCCATGCAGAAACAAAAGAAGAGCATCTCCTCCAAATTTTATCGACTTTGGACCATTAGTTTTGAAATTATCATCAGAACGCCGACGTAAGAGTGAAAAAATGCAGTTTTGAGAAAAATGGCTTTAAAGTTGAAGTACATGAAAAAAGGAGTCATTTAAATTTTCTGGCTTATCGGTAATTTATACAAATTTTGGTGATGTCCCATGCTATGAGTTACGTAGAAAAACTAACCTGGACTACTCATGGGCAACAGCAAGATAGAAATCTTCGATGTCTTCACACTCCCTTGAAGCCGTTACTTTTCGTGCTAGTCATATTGCTGGCAGAAGTCCGGCAGCTGCTGCATGAATTCTTGTTCTGTCTTGTCCATTACAACACAGCCTGGTATACAATCCAGTAGACATCCCCTACTTCTCAAATATAGGCAGCCTACCCCACTCTCCATCATTGATAACCACTGCAGCATAAGCCACTGCAAGAGTAAGCCTTTGCCTCCCAACGAAACCAGCCTTTGGAGACCTTTGCCAAATTAACTTGTGAGAACTTTCATTTGTATTTTGTGTTCCTCCATGGGCACACTTTGACAGTAATGTCTCACTGGCAAGAGTTTCAAAAACAGGCCTGATAGCCTTGCACACATAAGGAGGGTGAGCATTCATGTCAGAGTCTCCAGCTGGCTGCTTCTTGGAAGGACACCAGTCTCCACAGTTAGTGTGATCACGGTTGCGATGCTCCCATATGGCCCACATATCCTTTTGCATCTGAGGCACATTATTATTATTTCTTCTTATTGCGGCCCCATAATGTCCTTGAATGTTTAACATTGCCTTCATTATCAGACAACCACTCCCACCGATTCTTTGCACACTCTTGCCATTGTGTTTAAAGGTCTCTTTTTTCAGCTCAGTTACCTTATTGGTTCTTTTAAACTGCATGGTAATGCGGAATTACCAGATAGGCCTTTCGAAGCCGAATCGAATGCAACATGAATGAAGTTTCTAGGACGTCTACAAGCCGAGATGCAACATTTTAAGATTTACGCATATATAATGAGCTTGAATACATAGAAAAACAAGTCACATATGCTTCACAAAATGCTGAAATACTGCATTACAAAAGATGCTAACAGAAAAATGATTCGCAGTTTTATATTCTAGGATGATTGCAGTTGACATTTGTATGGCTTTCCAAAATGGTCAAAAGTTACGATTTTTCAGATATTTCCCCTTAGACCCTCCCCTTAATGAGTACTGTCAAACTTTTGACGTAACTATGATTCTGCGAGTCTTAGATATATCAATGGGCCACTGCACTACGACACTTTAGAATGCCTCTGTTAGTCGAGACGGATATATTGCATGTACCATATCCCGTAACTATACTTCCGGATAGCTCAGTGTTGAGAACCACAACCATTGTTTTGAAGTAAACCGTCGACTCCTGCTGTTTAGAAAACACAGTAAAAACGGTAACAATAGGCATATCTAGACGTTCGAAATGGCTCAGTTTTAGGTAGAATTATGTGATTAAGTAATGCGAATGCGCAAAATGAACATATTAAGTGTGTTGCAGGGCCCTGAGGTGACCGCCTTATATTTGAGTTGCAACACGTAATGTTGATTAAAGCAACGCTTTAATTAGTGGTAATCATTAACCGTTCCGATCACTGGAGCCACACTGGAAGTAAACAGCATCGACGTCGCTGTTTCGCAACACGGCGTGCCACGACAGTTTTCACCCTTACTTAGACTCGTCAGGTAGACAAATCTTTAACAGGAAGTGGATCCCCGCCAATAGTGGTTGGCAGCTGACGCATTGACCACTTGGACATTAAGATGCGAGAGCAGCACTTGACACAGCGGTTAGATCTTGCTTGTTGGGTTTTAAATATTCCGCCGTGTGTATGGGTTTACGCAACTTAAGATTAGTCATTTATTGACAGAGTGAGATACTGTATCTGGCTTCATGTTGAGTCACGTTTAGATGCCGTTGTATTCCACAATGCATCGCGTTACATTTCCATGTGTTCTCATATATCTATCCAAAGCGCTTGCAAAGATTTGGCGGTAGTCGGTCCAAGCTTCAGTACTTACTACACGACTAACATAGTTCACTTTGACCAGTTTTTACTCCATAGCCTTTTTCTGTACATCCAGGTTGCAAATGCACTTGAAACGTAGCACAACACGCTGTCGCCAAAGTTACGCCTAGAAGCGTTTACAGACAAACCACAGTTCACTGCAATAGCGCAAAGTCGACTGGGTTTTTAAATTAATGGATAAATAAAATTTTCGTTCTCGAAGCAAGGCACACCATGGAGGTATGATCAAGTAGATGCAATATGTGCAGTACATAGATCATAAGTTGAACAGAGATTAGGTTGTTCGTCAAGAATTTGACACGTGACAGGACAAAGGAGACATGAACGAGACAGAAAATAGTTGTTGCCATTTACTCTTTTCTTCCTGTATGTGGCATGGTTTATGCAACATGCTCCAACAAATGAGGTTTGTAGTCAAGGTGTCTGTACCAGAACGACAGTAAAAAGCCCAAGAAATATATGCAACACTGCTGTGAATGAATGAAGCCACAGTTGGACAGAGAGCTTGTTTGATAGGTGCAAGTTGTGTTAAAGCGGGTGTTATGCATTCGCAGTTAAAGCAAATTTCTGCCAATCGCGGTCGTCGGGTCCACAAATTTGTACAGTAGCTGGCTGGCTCAGGGAGACAAGAAGCGGTAAACATCAAATTCGTTTTACACAATCTTGCTGGTAAGGTTTTTCCAAAAATAGGTAGGGTAGAGCCCAATTGTTCGGACTTTAGGTACAATGATTCCGGGAATGTAGGGGTTCCAGTAATGTGTGTAAGTAGAGTTTCATTGATTTATCTTCCATCGAGCGTCAAGTGAATGTCCTGTGCTCTTTGGAGTAGTGAGAACTCTGTTTTTCCCAAAGGGCCGTCGGTGGACCTACTCGGTTCCGATAACAATCCGGTGACTTCAAGCGACATTTCTGCATAGATCTCGGGAAAGAAGAGGAGGAAGCAAATACAGACAAACAAAACAGCACACACACGCAATTGAGAAGTGCTCAAGTGGTGCAGCCGATGGTACTAAACGGAAATGCTCAAAACTGGTTTGGATTGTACACCGTTATTATACATTGTTACATGTAAAATCTTTTCTGGAATTTGAATTGAATGCGTTCGTGATGACGAAAAAAGGTGACGTTACTTTGCGACGGCCACGGAAGAGATGAAGCTGCTTAGCTGGATAGGGAAAAACTGGGCCATCATAGGTTCCTATGAGACTGATGTTAATGGGTGTGTGGAGAGGCTCTTTGGAAAGTCAAGAGGGAAGCCATAGTAGTCCAACTAGAACCAGAGATTTACTGAAGACAGAAAGAGTCAGTCGTGGACCATAATCGAGGAAAACTACGAGGCTGATGCTAATAGGCGGGTGAAGATACTTACATCCGGAACGGAATACTCTGAGGTACAACCAAATGCCAATAATGCAGTAACTTGTTTAATACTTACTGGAATGGTAGCTTCATCCTGTGGGCCAGCTATTCACCGATATGATTTAAGGAACCAATCTCAGTTAATGGACAAAAAAGCGCAATCCTAAGGGTCTTGTGCGATTTTCGAATGGAAAACAGCCAATTTAACGCAAAAGCTATCGAAGAAATTGATGATACTATGGAGACTGAGACGTTCACATGACAACAAGTATAAGTCTACCCGGTTGGCAACCTCCTAACAGACGCAAGTTATGTAACTTAAGCTAAAGCGTCGTTAATCCGTTTTTCACCATCGTTACACTGGGAGGCAAGAAAAATATCAGCTAGAAGACCGTTCTAGGGTTGACGCACTCGAAAGGAAAACAAAT